TCCTCAGACTCAGAGGCTTCTATTATTTATGTGAAGCTTACGAGGGTGTCTCTATTATTCTTTAATATTTTTGCAATGAATTATTTTCCAATGCAATGTTTCCAGAAAAATGAACAATATCCAAAATTTGTGATTTGTAAATTTTGGTTAGAAGAATTTTCTTAGTTGTTGAGTGTGTTCTGAGTTCTACTTAAGCTGATGTTCAAAATTAAACACTGTATTAATTTCTCTACAATTCAAGGAACATCCTATGTTTTCTTATTTTATATAGGTGATGCAAAAACATATTTGTGATCCGGAGAAGGACAAAAACCTGTTTGAGTTCACTAAACAATGTGCAATTCATGAAACATAATAGATGTAGACAAAAAGGATGTTTTGAAGATTGAAAAGTAACATCCTGAATCTAAATCTGTCTCCAGCTGTAGTCCTTGACATGAATGGTTCTGATGTCTGGTGTCATGTTCAAATTAGCCACTGAGGAGGGTGAGATTCCTTCAGTCAGACTGAGGCATGTCGGAGCACATGTGCTGCAGCCTGGCCTGCTGCCAGAGAACAATATGTCCCTGAACATATAGGCCGGAGAGAGAGTGTGTTTCACTGGTGTTGGTACACAAAGCAGCAGAAGCTCCCTCTGACGTGTGTGTTGTTAAACATACAAATACTGACTAGTGCTGCTTTTCATGACTAAGCATGACGAAAAACGTTTTCATTGTGCTCCAGAAATGTATTTCTATAAAAACATGTATCGCTTAGCAACGCTGATTATTCTGTAACTGTGATTCTTCACAGTCCTGACAAAGCTCAACATGCTCTCCAGCTGTGACGATAATTTGATTATTATATATTTTATTGAATATCTTTTTCTGGCAGCCACAGCATAGCAACTAATCTCTTGCTGATGTCAGGTGTTAGACCCACAAAACTTTAAGTGAAGAGCTGTAACTCCCATAATAATCAGTTTGAATCAGAATAATCAGAAAACATCCCCGACCTTTGTCGTCCTAGATGTCAGTTAGATGTTTGGTCATTCAGGAATTGTAACTTTATGCTCCATTTGCACACAGTGCTTCTTAAAACTATCCTACTTTTTTACAGGATCCACTGCTTGTTTGCCTTTGTAACCCATCGCTGACAGTGAATCTGTTTGGAAATGCTTCATGTGCACAGTGTGTGCTCTGGTATTCTGGGACAAGATGCTACAGTACAGCAGCAGCAGAGTTAAAATAACAAAGCATGTTGGTGCCATGTTAAGACCCGGGGGGCTGTGAGGAGCAGTGGTGTTGATTACAGACAGGCAAAATATCTCTAGTAAATTAGTAGGGAAATGGTAAATATAGCTGCAGGAAACCAGAACATAGCTGTTATATACAAAACTCTAGTTTACCACAGGGCCGGCACAAGCTCTTTGGGGGCCTTAAATGGAAAGTTATCGGGCCTCTGTCCCCTCAGCCCCCAATTCAACATTATAATACCACTTTCCCACTAAAAGTACTGTGTATATCTGGAATTTTTTAATACCTGGCTAAATCGGCCTTTAACTGGCTTCTGACGGCTTCTCGCTGCCGGCCAACCCGGCTCGGCTCTCTTGACGAGCTTGTTTCCTTTCTGGTACGTCATATTTGACACCATAACGTTGGAGACATCAAATACCTGCACTGGTAAACAGAGTTGTAAACAAACAGCATGGAAGCTAGTGAGACGGTCAGCGTTATTTCTTTGTATTTACTTTTGTTCATCTTCCAAAGTAAAGAAACTCAGCGTAGACTGAACCACGTTAGAGCCTTGACCGAACAAAGACGGATTCATTTACGGCAAAAAATCACCTAAATTATCATCAACTTTATTTATATGGCACATTTAACACAGCCAAAGCTGACCAAAGTGCTTAACACAATATCCACAACACCCCTTAAAAAACAACATAAACGAACAGCAAAACAAAAACATCATACTTAAAACACCCCCCATCATAAATCACAAGCTCAACAAGACACAGGATCATACTGGTTCGAACGCCAGACGGTACAAATGAGTCTTCAAATAGGTTTTAAAAGTGGACAAGGAGGGGGCCTGTCTAATATAAAGGGGCAATGCATAAATTATCAGCAGGGGAGACGAAACTTCATTATCTCCTTGTTGCTGAAGTGACGATGTATTACAGTAAATACTCAAAAATATGACTTCATATAGTTTAAAATTAACAGTATATTGTTGTAAATAAAGTAAATATACTTACAGTACAATATAATATACACATGTTTTGTTTGTAAAGAAAAATCCTTATATTAGCTTATATTTTTTTAGGTTAATATCTTTTTTAACACAAAAACTAATAAATATAGAAGATTTCATGTAAAAATATAGCAACAAACTATTTTCATTATGTAAAATATTAACAAACCAGCAGTTAACCAGGTCTGGTTCATCACAGTTGGCCCTTAAAATGTACTTTTACTCACCAAATTGTTATGTGATGATGGAGTTAATTAAATGACCTGCAGTGGTTTATTTGTCTTCTCTGCATCATGGTCTTATTGATTTTGTGATGTACTATTGATCCACTGCAGGATGAATGTCACGCTGGAATCACCTGGCTTGGTCTCTCACCACTTGGATGTTCAGTATCGCTAAGAAGTCACACCATTAATGATTCCTTGCTCTTCAAGTACTCCATTAGGTCTTGTTCTTTCAGCCTGACCCTCTCTAATGTCTGTCAGTGAGAGGCTGGGTAGCAGAGATTCTACTCTGTCTAGACGTCTTAAGAAACAGATATAATGAGCTTAATGTGCTGTTGAATTAACCTCACAATGGCTCTAATGGCTTCTCCCATTCTGTTAAGGCTACGTCCTCTCATAAAAGCAGTACCGATCTGCATTAATGTCCTAGTACATCACTGAACAAAGCATCATGCACTCTGATGGGAGCAGCACGCTGTCTAAAGTATGTTTATATGAGTCATTTTGTGAAAGCAGACAGCCTGGGAAGTGACTGATGCCATTTAAGGGTTTTGTTAGTTTGGCTTGAATCAGTCACCTTTTGATACATGCATGAAAAGCAGCCTTGTTCACACACAGTTCTCCCTATATTTATGAACTAGTCATCACCCAAGGCTGGTAATGTTCTTTAAAAACCTATCAGGAGAATAGCCAGAGCTGGAGTTTCTGTCACCTTGAATTCCAAATTCAAACTACTGCTGAAATGTGTGGAAAAACTGAACTGACCTTTCTGTTATGTTGTGTTTGAATGTAAAACTCAACAGTGCAACAGGCTGCACTGACACCGAACCAGCTGAGAACACATGGAAGTGGTTCGAATGGAAAAACAAGGACAAAGCGAAGGCTGTTGTGATGTTCACTGGAAGCAGCAGGTGAGATCTGCACACTGCTGAAAACAAATCCCAGAGAGGCACAAAAATACACAGGAGACACTGAAACTGAGGTACAGATTTTTTGCTCTACTTTATTGTGATAAGTTGACAGTAAATATTTTGAAGAGGATGTTTGTGCCTTTCTCAGGCGGGCGGTGTGCAG